ATGAGAATGTAAAAGATATATGGCAACATTTTCATTTGATATCATCCGCGGCTGAGGTAGTTCCCGTTGTTAGGTTTAATTGTTCTTATATGCGTGTATCCGTTGTAGTTGGGTGATTCTTTGCGTGTGTACGTGTGAAGGCGCTAAGGTATGCGCGTACCGTGGATTGTACTGTGGTAGTGCGGTCGTATAGGATAACTTCAAGTGATTGCACGTGTTACAGTCGACCATAGGATCTTAAATTGAATAATCGTAGAAAGAAATGTGGTAATTTGTGTTCTGAAACATATAGGTGCCGGTTTATAATAACTACACTACTACGTATATTGGAATAGGGTAGAAGACTAATGTTTATTTTAATGTCCGTCTTGTAGATTATTTAAAATAAGAAAATGTGTCCAATACACATATTTTCTTATTTTCTTACGGAAACCAATAGTTTCGAAGATATATTAAATTGAAATATCGCATGACGTCAATTTTGCGTCCGATTTATGACGTAGGTACCTCCTACTCCTAAACTTTGATTTGTTCTATCTATCACTTTCAATTTTTTTTGTTGACATTCAAAAGTGCCATTCTGGCCTAATTGAAATAAATGATTTTGACTTTGACCTTGTCTTTAAGTATCTTCTTATACGAAAGTTCTTATACGAAAAATAAAAAAAATACGTGTCTAATATTTTTTGATTATGTAACTGGCAAACCTATGATGCATATAATATAAGTACCTACATATCAATCTGTTTATAAATCGTCGGAGATATTTAAGTAGGTGCCATATAGGAAAGCCATATAGCAAAGAACACAAAACATTTTATTTTAAATAAAGAATTACTATAATTTAAATAAAAATAAAAGAGTAGTTGCCTCAAAAACGTTCATAACACGATTTGTTACGAGATTTATCTGCAGACATGTAGAGACGTAGATCGCAAGACTTCCAGGACATGTGTCAGAACTTCCACTCGAAAACTTGAAGCGAACAAAGAGTAAAGCCCTGTTCTCGTACCGTGCACCGGGAACAATTTTATATCTTTATAATTTAATAAAATGAGCAATTTGAGAGCTTTTATCATAATTAAGAATCGTATTGCTCAAGTGTTTCGTTTTAAAGTGTGTTTCGTGTTTTTGAGTTTGAATTGTGTACCTATGGTTCAGTGGTTTTATTTGTATGACCCGCGTTTGACGCATTATTTTTTTTTATGGCATAAGCCGGTAAACGAGCAGGCGGATCGCCTGATGGCAAGCAATCGGCGTCGCTCTTGGACACCTGGAATACCAGAGGCGTTACAAGTGCGTTACCAGCCTTTTGGGAATCAGGAGTTTGAGGATCGTTGGGGATTCAATCAATTATTAATTAGGGAGATTGGGAAAGGGGAGGGTGATTGGGCCTCCGGTAAACTCACTCACACGACGAAACTCAACGCATGCGTTGCTTCACGTCGGTTTTCTGTGAGACCGTGGTATCACTCCGGTCGAGTCGGCCTATTCGTGCCGAAGCATGGCTCTCCCACACTTAAATGTTAAGATGAGGTGATTAAGGTGATAAAAGCTTAAGAAGTTTGTAAGGGTCGTACATACCAACGTGCGGATCATATGTACTATGTCGTATCGTGTATCGCTGTTAATAATTATTTCTAAAACTATAGTGTGATTACCGTCCGAAATTCTCGCGTTTGATCTACGATTAGTCAAATTTGTATAACTTCAAATATTTTTATACATTTAATCTCCAATGGGTAACTGATGAAGACGTATAAATGTTATCAGTACACATTATTACTCAACCGATATTTGTTATGTTTGCATTACAAGAAATAACTTATAAACTGCTTTACTCAGAGTAGTCACAGTTTAAACTAATTATGAAATAAAAATTACTGAAAACATTATAGCAGAAACCATGGTAAAGTGTCTTACCTACCCATTGTATTCATTTATTGTAAAAACGTAAGATTAATTCTAATCCCGTTTCGATAGATATAAATCCTCCAAAGCCATCAGACTTATCGTTGTGAATTATCTTCGATATTGATAGATTCACCTCAAAATTCCTCTCCTTACCTACACGGAAGCATACAGCTGCATTTTATTCGTTATAAAACAGATCATAAAAGTTTAATCAAAAGCAGACTTTGGAACCTCATTTTTGCCCAAAACAGATGTTCGAACAAGGTTTAACAAGAGATAAAATATATAAGATTCACTTCAATATTTTATCGATCTTGTTTAGGATATCTTAGAGACATATTTTCTGGAGCTATTCTGAATCTTAAGTGCTTAGTGTTCGAGTTACATACATTTGAAATCGTTTTATATGTGGGGACCAATCGATATTAACACAGATACCTAGATTAATTGTCGGATTAACAATATAAAAAGTGAACCCACCAGTAGCGGGAGAAATCCAAGCTACGACGGCAGTGGTCAGGGCTCCAGAGAGAGGAATTTCTGGAAAATACGTCCAGAAGTAATGGCTTTCTGCATCAGGCCCTTGACCTAACTATCTAACGGTGGCCTACGTTTTCATCATTACTATTATAATTATTAGTAGATTACTAGGAAAATTTACTAGGTATAAAGCTAAAATTGGTCAACTATGCTTTGTGAATTCTGACAACTAAAAGTTAGTATTCCAATCGCAACAGTTGTACTGGACTAGCTACTGTTTTGTGGCTAAAAATTGTGTCAGTTATGCAACTTGTTAGTTTACTACTAAAGTTACTACGTGATATTTATTTTTCGTGTTTTAAAGAATAATCTGATGAAGGTTAGCATTTCATTTTAGGTTGTATTCATTTACTTTTGTCAAAGTAATATAAATAGAAAAGCATTTTTATTATTACTGGTATAAATTACTTAAAACCTCTTTGCGATGTATTATCATGTCATTTAAAATAAACTGACTTGTCAAACAACGCATCAAGGCAATTTTTTCCTCCTGTCATATTGTAAACTTGTGCAATAAAATAATATTATTGGATTGTTAGATAAACAACGAGAAGATTATGAACTACATTCTTCCTGGACTAATAAAAAAGAATCTTATAAGGATATTAAAGCGTAATATCTATACTCAACTTTCTCCTTTAAGAAAAGATGTGCAAGTCAAGAATCCATTTTTGATCGAACCAATAGAATACGAGAGTCTTACTCTTAGAAAACATGATAACCCAAGACGTCAGATGCTGTACGAATTTGGTATATATGTCGCATCATGTTTACCAAAATATGTTCAGAAGGTTCAATTGCAGCACACAGATGAACTAGAGATCTTGGTGGCACCTGCTGGTATGTACCAAGTTTTGAGTTTCCTAGCTCTGCATCAACACGCGTGCTTTGGCCAATGTTCTTCCGCAACTGCTATCGATGTACCGGGTAGGCCGTATAGGTTTGAAGTGGAATACGACCTTCTCAGCTTCAGGTATTCCGAACGAATCAGAGTGAAAACATACACAGATGAACTGACACCTCTTAAGTCTGCGTACGGCATTTGGAAAGCGTGCCAATGGTACGAGAGAGAAATATATGATATGTTTGGAGTAGTGTTTACTCATCATCCAGATTTGAGGCGGATCCTCACTGATTACGGATTCACTGGTCATCCTCTAAGAAAGGACTTTCCTTTGGTGGGATACATCGAAATACGTTATGACGATGAATTGAAGAAGATTGTTTATGAACCTATGGAATATGCTCAAGAAGCACGTAAATTCGAGTTGCAGACACCATGGCATTACTTGAACAAGTTCCATGAAGGATACAATCAAGAAAAGCCTAAACCACCTCCTAAGAAGGAGGACAAATGCACGTGCTGATTAGTTTCAATTTTGCATTACGTTGATATAACTTATTGTTAATTAAATGTTACTTTGTTACAAAATAAACGATTGCTTTATTGATGCTCTAATTTTCATTAAAACATTGCGAAAACATTCAAAGGATATTACTAGTATCCGATGTACGATTGTACAGTATGCGTCGGACTTCTTTTGCAGATGCCTCGTTTGAATCCAGCCCAGTCTCTAATGAGCTTTTGTCCTGACACAATGGGAGCCATTTAGTGGAGCGTCACACATAGCTCACGATAGCTCCCCGGCCAGATGACGGCCCTTTCTAACGCCTCAATTAATAACTTGGAAATTAGCGGAAAGTGGCTAATTATTCTATCTCGATTTCATTAAGTGGCTTCGTAAGTTGAACTGGTGTGAGTTACTCAAATTGGATTTCGATTCCTCATTATTATGCAGTTACAGTGGGATTTTAAATTGGCGAAATCCTTCTTAGAAAGTTTGGTTGAGTTTCGTCTTTCAATCTTAGTTGTTTTACATTGTGTCTCTAGTGAGAATTATCGATAAACCCCAGAACTAAATTTAGATTTCTGTGCTAGTTAACACCAAACGACATTTTCGACTAATAAATTAAAAATGAACTCACCTACCTCAAGCGTGAATTTGCATGTAGTTTTATAATCACTTACCACAACATTAATATAACTTTGGTAGGTATTAACATACACATTTTTCAAAATCGACAGAAATCATTGAAACCAAAATCAACAATATTTATAGTAGGTACTTATAAAAAATTTAATTTTAAAACAATAATAAAGCAACCTATAAATCTAACAATAAACAATAAGTTAAGCATTAGACCAAAACATCTTATAGTGTCAAATTATGAAACACACAATCAATGTTGAACAATTAATTACAGCACAGGCTTCAATTAAATTCAACCGAAAACCGACCTTAAGTCATTATTATTATTAAAGGGAACGATTTAAATAATTATCAATAAACTCCCCAGAGACGGTTGAGGCTGTTGACTCGTAATATTAAGATTGGCCAATCAAAATAGCGATACCAGTATACAAAGAAGATTGTTGAATTTTTCCAAGTATTTTATCTGTGGGGCTCGATCATACGGACATCTGCGTAAGAATAACGGCAGAGTGGAGGATTGAATGAACAATTGGTTCAGTGTGTGTTGTGTCCTTCGGTGGTGCGCACGGCCGCACGCTCCCCGGAGACCGACGAAAGTTCACACGCGGTCGGAAAACTTTATCCCGGCTCTAGTAGAGTAACGAATAACAATTACACGTTGAAATATTAGTTTGAAACTCTTCTGGAATGTTCTAATGATCCTTGCAATGCCTTTTCGTCGATGATTTGATGTTTTTACCGAGGTAAGTTTTGTTTACAGTATTTTTTTTACTTAGATCTTTGTTTTGTTTTGTGAATTTATAAATGTGCATTTTCTAATTTTGTCTGCATGTTTTTTAGATTGGTTTGTTATTGTTTATATCGTATAATTGTTTTCAGATTTTGTCTAAATTTTACGTATAGTATTTTGATATTGATTACAATTATACATTTGTGTAATTTCGACGAACAATTGGATTAGTAGAAATACCTATGCATAATTTCTGCATTTTTATATATTTGTGAGGAATTAATAACATATTAATTAAAATATTACTATAATTTTTGTAATCAATTCAAAGTTCTGTGGGAAATGTTTTTGTTTTGAATATTCTGGACGAACAAACAATAAAATAAAATTAGAAGTATTATAAATATATATTATAATTAAATATTTTATATTCATCGTAATAAAATTTGAAGCTATAATTGTGACCTTTAAATTAACCTTTATAGTAAAGTCATAATGAATTATTTGAATAATAATTGTAATGCCGTACATCACAGATCACAAAATAAATAATATTATAATAATTATAACTAATAATATTATCTAATATAATCAATATACATATATAATATAACCTATCATTACGCCTTTTTTTTCTAAAAGGATGCACACAATACCTTTATAGGTCCTACGCAATATGGTGCCGTATCGCCATATATCCTAATAGATAGGTATCATTAGGTATATCTAATTAACACTACCTAAATAGATAATTACCTAAAGGCATTCAAGACTCTTTATACACTTAAAAACTCCTTAGACAAATACTAGTTTCCTGTTTAAAATCATGAAGGTCAATAATGTCGGTGTTAATGAAACACTTTCTAATCGATAGATACTATTGGTATTCAATTAGCTCTTGTTAGTGTCTGCTCTCCTGGTACTTTGGGTTCTTAATGCTTAGGATACTGAGGGATGTTTGTATGGCGTTTACAAGTGTTTTTCAAATAAGTAGTTGTTACTGTGGACTTGAGTCTTGTCAGTCCTGGGTTCGATGCCTTATGCTGTTGTGTTACTGCGGACTTATGAAATTTAAGTCCTTGGCTCGACGCTGTATGCTGTGTAGTCCAATGATAAAGACTAGAGTAATCGAATGACTGAAAAATCATTGTTTATTAGAATCTCGATTTTGCTATTACTCTCGGTAAACTGGTGTAGCACTACTTTGAAAAAGCCTCAGTAGTTTTTATGAATCAAATATATTTTAGATTTTACTAATAGGCTTGTCGTCTGTAAAATCTTTTAAAAGGTATAAGTAAAAGGGCCTGGCAGCATACAGGTATGATGTATATTTTACCAATACTGATGAAGTTCTTAACTATGTACTATTACGCAGCCGCGGAGAATGTATAAGGTTACCGGTATTCCGGCTCGAAGTGCAGGAGTAGGAACGGGGTGGAATTAAGTTAATAAGAGTCTGAATCTAGGCGGGAGAAGACATTCGATGATATTCCCCCCTTAAAAAAAAACTATGTACTATGAGTTCATGTCTGCTTATCCCTTTGGAGAACAAATAGCGTGGATTTATATTACACCTCCTAACACTGTTTTAGTACTTTACATCTCAAATACTTACAATACTCTTTAAACTATGTTTATCGTGTGGTGATTACAACTTGTGTTGTTAGTTACAGTTAACTCATTTTAGACTTAGTCTTCATAAGTTTTAGGTTCACAGTTGGATTGTTTTGATATTTTAAAATGGGAACGTTATAGCACTTTCATAGCCGCAGCCGTATGGGTCTAGTAGAGATAAAACCTAGTGTTGAATTTGGTGTCTTTTTACTGTTTATATTTGTTAAGCGAATGTGTGAGCTTATTCGGCTACTACAGTTAGGCAAAGAGCAATTGACATATTATTCCCTAAAATGTTTAGTAGACTTGATTGCCTCTTTGGCCGAGTGGTGACAATTGCGACTGCCGGGCAAGGGATCTTGGGTTCAATGTTTGGGTCGAGCATCGTATTACTGGGTTTTAAGAAAAAAACTCAGTAGTAGCACGGAGTCTGGAAATGTGCCCGGTATAATTATGGCAATAGGCTCAGTCCCTATTACATGGGAGTCATAACACAAATGGTAAAGAGTGGGTGTTACATTGTACAGTGGTATTAAGTGCTGTAATGTGCACTTCTGCCTTTTTCGGGGTGTTATGTTATGTTATGTTTAGTAGAGAAGTCTAAACTAAATATAAATTACATTAAAGTAAAAAAAAAATATACATTCTCTCAATCAAAGAATTAATTAAGTTTCGATAAGAGCTAGAATATGATGATGACGTGGATGATGAATGCATGTTAATTACAATTGTTATACTTCATAATATTATGTTATTATACATATTTTCAGAGTATATTATATTGTAATTTTTATAATAACTATCGTGAGACATACTAAATGAACTAAAACGCGTGTTACTTAATTGAAAACACTGAGAAAAGCTCTACTAGTTTCGAGCCACAGGGAGCTCTTCTACATAACAAGCGTGCGCGGTCGCGGCGATGTCTTGCAGCCTACTCGTGCTACCCTAGCTGCCCATGAGGAAGAGCCCCTGCGGCTTGAAACTAGTAAATCGTTTTTCAGTATTTTACTTATTATATTTTACTATGAGTAACCCGCAAGTTTTAGTAATATTATAATGTAATTAAATACATAAACACCAAGTCGGTTGAACGATAACTTAATAGATTTGTACAATTTACCACAGTGAAACTAAATTTAACTACGTAGGAATAACACTTACGATTATCGATATTACCTAATTAAATGTTTAATATTTATCATCTAGTGGTCTCTAATAAGCAATATCTTTTATTCTATGTCACATTATTATTATTGGCGCTGATTAGTTTAGGGTTCTGTGGAGAGACAAAAAGACTTGTAACTGTGTATATATGTATTTTCTTGGATATTATTGAACTGTATGCCAATCAAACAAATATATCAGCTGGGATATTAGTTGTCAGGGTTTGACCTGACAACTAATATTGTGGACTCGTAGATAAAATTATTAAAATTAACATAATATTGTGGCGACTTTTCCGATCTTAGGGAACTATTCTCTCTGTTCCCTAAAATATATTGTTGTGGTAGTCCGGAGGATTTCGACCCACGTTTCTTATGCATGAGAGTGCCGGTTCAAAACCCACCAACGGCAAATACTAATAATGCTAAATAAATATCAATGTGACTTTTTCTGAGTTATATGTTCTTTCTAAGATTTTGTTTAGGCACTATTGACAAACGGTGAAAGAAAACATCGTTAGGAAACCTGGACTTATAATGTCATTGAATTTCAAACATACAGTTTGTAACTTATAGTTAACTGGGTAACTTATAGTTTAGCAAAAGTGGTGACTGGTGATTAATGCTCAAACCTGCTCCGTACTAGAAGAGGCTTTTGGTCAGCAATGGCCACTTATAGGTGGTTGATGTTACTTATTATACCGTACCTAAATCCATATTGACAACGAAAGTTTAGAGAACAATTATTTAAAGAATAAAAATACAGAACATTTTCCAATTTTAATGACATTAAATTCGAAACCCACTGTTCGTAAAACAATACCTTGGCCTTTTTCTTATATTTCATTGGAGATTACGATCATATACCCACGCATACGTTACCTGTAGGTTTGTTTATTTTCATGTCCAGTGTCTAATAGACTGACAACCCACTCCTTCAGCAAACATTAATTAATCATTACTAAGAATCAATTTCTTTCACTCATATTTGCATTTCGTAGTCTCTGCCTACCCCCATGGGAGACAGGCGTGCGTAATATTTTGCTTTTTAAAAAGTATTATATTTCTTACTCAATATTGTATTTAAATTGTTTAACTTTTTTGAGCCAGTCTCTGATCACTAAAAGTTTATTTAGTTCTGAAATTATGTAGATTTTATATCTAGACAGATATAAAGTCTGTTATCAAATAGTTAAGTATAGACTTGTTACTTTCGTTAATTTGTAAGCCGTAAAATATTTTATAAATCATTTCCACCTGAGTTAAAACCTGTGTTGTAGAAATCGATCTACCTCAGTCTATTCACAATTCACTAAAGAAACAAAATGTTTAAGAATCCTAGAATTATCAACCAGATAGTTTAAAAAAAGACGTTCACATTTTTATCAACATCATCTATTCAGGGCGCAAAGAAGGCGGTGCTACGAAAATACTAAAATATAAATCAACCACATAAAAGCTTTTGTTTGTTGCTCAAAGAAATGCGATGAAAACAAAACTTTTAACAGACAAGATTAGACGAGAGGGAGTAACGTAGGCCGCGACTTGTTACAACTGCATAAGAATTTTATCTCAGTTTAGAAGTAATGTAATCTTGTCACAAACATTTTAGATTGATTTTGTAATTTCTACTTTAACTTTCAACCCCTGGTTAAGAATAATATGTTTGTAGTTAATAATGTAATTTTTCAGTATTAGTAAACCTGTTAAAAAGGTATCTACTGTAAATACGTCAATCTCGAAACCATTGACTAGATTTACCTATAGTTCAATATAGATAAAAATCTTTTGGGAGCTCTTACCATAGAACTTTATCTAGAATACTACACATAATACATAAAAACATTCCTAATATTAGAAAGAAAAATCTACAAAAATATTCGCCCAACTTCCAACATACCTAATACAATTTGCGTAAGTAATAACTTTAGACCCGAGCCACTAAATCCTAACCATATTTTAATATCCAAAGTACCTGAACATTAGCCAAGCAACACTTGAAGTTACGCGTTCACAGTAAATCTACTTAGTATAAATGTTGGGGTATGAACTAGAGTTTGCCGGCCGGTATGAAATTTCCGACAGCGTTTGAAAACTTAGTTCCTACAAGTTTAGTAGGAGTCTCAGACAGGTCTTTCAAGACAATGCACATCAAAGTAAGGCCTAGAATTATAGCCGCTGCTTCATAAATCTCGTTTAGAATAGTAAAAATGTATAAATGTGTCAGAAAAATTGTGACAAAATTGAAATCTTAATATATTATCTTTTGAGATTATCGTTATTTTAATAACAAAATTATTACTTTTGGTTTATTTTAATTCATACCAAATAAAAAACCGACAACAAAAGTAATATGAAAGAAATTATAGGTAAACACTTTTTCATATTACTTTTAGCGGGTATATGTGTAGATTTTTTCTTTTTAAAAAGTATTAATTCACAATGTACAATGTTCAGATTCGTAGTAATCCGTTCGCACTGAAAGAGGAACTGACGGACAAATTATATTCAGGCAGCTTTTATCCTGTCCTTTTTACTTATTTTACGTCCATGGATGTAGATAAACATATGTAGTAGAAGTAGATACATTTATTATAAAAAACTCGCAGAAAATTTTGTGAAAATAAGGACTGGACATTTATTTTTTATAAAACCAGAATAATTTGTACTTTTTACTTTGTTTTATGATTAAGTACAATCACGATTAATGATCGCCAAGTGATATGGATTAACTAGTCGACATGTGAGATGGAAAATCACTTTCTTAAGTACCTTGAATCCTATCCTATGAAGCCTTGAAATATAAAATTGTACCCGATATTTCATAATAAAGTATTTCCATTTTATAATGGTCCATATAAATGCTCCATAATTAAATATTTCGTATGCAAGGAAAAAAATAAAGTTCTAGCTACTTTAGAACAGTAGCTTTTTACGCATTTTCTTTTTAAGTAAACAATGTTGTTTTTATTTTCTTACCTGCATACCAGATAATTGATCAGACTGTACTATACAAGCAAGCTAATGAAAAACGCGTATAACACGTTTCTCTGCCTAACCTTTCAAAGTAAAACAAGGGTGTTTGATAAACAAATAAAATGTCACGCATGAACAGGGTATTAGTCGTGTTCGAACAAAATGCTAATGTATAACATGTTGCGACGTTGCCAATAACAATTGAGACCGGGATTATTCTTCGACAGCCATGTTCCCGTAACCCCGGCTGTCACGCTCCCAAACATTTACCTTATTCATTTAGATACTAGCTTCTGCCCGCGCCTCCGCTCGCGCTCTCCATAGATATAAGGAGCAGATTTAAAAAAAAAATGATGTACGATTTTTTTTGTTACTCGGCAAATTGTCCTCACATCAAGTTTTGGCTTTAACCTTGAAAATTGTGAAATGCTTTATACCAACTTCCATCCCGAATTTTATGGAAGTCGAAGGTTAGAATGAGACAAAAATAGACTATGTCACTCTCAACCCCTTCAACTATCTCCACTTAAAAAATAACGTCAGTTGGTCGCTCCGTTTTATCGTGAAAGACGGACAAATAAACACAAATTCACATTTATAATATCAGTATGAATTTCGTGTTTCATTACATTTTCTGATTAAAATTGATGCCGATTTTAATACAATGCCGCTTGGCGCTTTGTAAATTAATTGTTTGTGACTTTCTATTATTATTATTATGTTTCTTTGGACGAGTTTTGGGTGCAGATTATGGTTCGTATCGGTGTTTTAGTTTTATTAAATTTCATTGAGTTTGGGGTTAAAAATTTGTTGTTTTTAATAAAATTAAAATTATAATTAAATGGTTACTATGGTCAATCAAGATAGTATTTCTCTTTGTCTCTGCCGTTGTTTATTATTTATTTTGTCACTAGATCAATGAAATATACAAGGCTCCGTTACCTATTAACTAACTACATATTAATAAATACAAATACAAATATTGTTTATTTCGTCAATGTAGGTATGTTACAATAGATGATAGATAATATTATAGTAGTTCGCTACATTGTTTCTGTACAGACATACAAAATTTTTATAGGATGTTCTTAATGTAGTGTGTTTACAGACAATAATCTTCCCTGTCTACATTATGGAACATAATACACATAATAATTAATAGTCATTACTTTCCATTTACTACAAAATACCTACATTTGCCTCAAACCAGACTTAGTGCAACTAATCACAATATGTAATAGTTAGTACACTCCCGAGACAAACTATTCACAGGTATCGCTATTGCTTATTGTGTAATTCATAACTGAATTTGTCCCCAACTAATCCTAATATAGACAACAAGTAAGTATTGGATCTCACAACATGTAGATAAAATCGAAGTAGAAGTCTGCAAATCGAAGATGTCCTTTAAAATGAGGCAACCATTGGAATTGTTAAAAGAAAAAAAAACTTGGTATAAATATACCGTCCATCGCATTCAGAAACAAAATACTTTAGATATTACACATGAACGAAACACTTCATTAAAAACACGTACACTACGGCTTTCAAAACGCCATCACACTGCCATACAACCGAAAAGAACGATATATTTTTATCTAAACGCGCATTGAAATAACTTCGTCCGTATCAATACGAGTGTGTAAGCAAACTGTATATTTTTTTTTCTCAAACATATCTTCGCGGAAAAGTAGTTACCGGTGCTCGATCGCATCCGCGCTCATTTCACACCCGTTGTTATGATGCTCACAGAAACGACTGCGATAACCAGGAATAGTCGTAACAAGGAATCATTATTGGATCGAAAGGATTGAGAACTTCGAGGACATCGGCAACTTTGGCAACTTCGGTAACTTCGGGAACTTTGAGACTTCTCTTTTCATGTCACACGCATCATAATTGCTTGGAATAGAGTGACAATGTGCCATCAAAATGTTTATATTAGCTCTCTGGTTTTATGTTGATGTGTTATATCATAAACATCTTCATCGGTTATGGAGCAACGACTTTTTAGACCGCGTATCCCTGTAAGTGGTACCGTTAAGATATTAATAGAAGTCATAAAAAGATTGGCTCGATGTTTATATTATAAATCAATGGGAAGATTGTGTTTGGAGATTGTTTAATGGTGTAGAAGTGGATGATAACAATCTGTTCTATAAATCGTAAAGTTTTCTTATGCGCTCTTAATGGAAGATTTAATGGTCAATTTACTGCTATTCTCATAGTGCACTATAGTATACCAAGTCCCGGCTTTGCCTTATATGGTTCAATTCAAAATCTTGACATATGAAAGCAGAATCTTGTCATTATGATTTTGGAGGTTATATTAGAATTTATTAGGTACAAACATTAATAAAAAAAAGTTAAGATGAAAAATGGAACAGATTTGAAACGAAACATGTCGTACAATACTAAGTTAAAGAATATATAAGAGTAGAATGAATAAATATTTATATTTTATTTTGCTTGCAGTGTCCCATGGCTTGAAAAAGGCTTTGCTTGATAGCAGAGTCGGGCAACGTGGTTGGAAATATGCAGCAGCCTTGGTGGTCCATTTATTTACTGGCCATTTTCATGTTAGGATTGGACTCTAAACTTGTTGGTAAATGAATTATAATATGTCGTTGTTCTACTCAGATCAGATCAGTGTTTCTTTCGAATATTTTCTAAAAACATAATTGGGTACTTCCCTTAATCAAAATTAAATTATTTCGACTGTTTAATACAATAAAGTATTAAAAAATAATCACACTTTCATTAATTACTTAATTTTAATATTTTTTCACCAATTCTTTTTTAAATAAGTATGCTTCACAATCTCGTACAAAATTCATAGAAATTTGTCGTTTTTGACAGTTCGAAAAAAGTATTGAATTTGACTAGTTGGCAACTACCCAATTCAATTAGGTAAATATTTTTTTTGTAGAGTCCATATAAAATACGAATCCATTTTGTAAGTAATATAAATTTATTAGTTCACAAAACACAGGTCTAAAACTGTAATACATTAACTAAAAATATAACCAACAGCCAATGTACGTGTACTCTATACAGGTACACAAACTAATAATGAAACAATTTTCAGGTCAAGCATTCCAGCCAGAATTTGCTGAACCGTTAATGAATTTAACTGTACCTATAGGACGAGATGCAACATTTAGATGTCTAGTACAAAACCTTGGAGGATACAGAGTAAGCAATAAACAAGAAAACATAGAATAAGTATAATTGCCTTCAAATAAAAACACAATACCAATTTGCAGGTTGGCTGGGTGAAAGCCGATACTAAAGCGATACAAGCAATCCATGTTCACGTAATAACAAACAATCACCGAGTCGGAGTGTCGCATAACGGTCAGACCGTTTGGAATTTACACATTAGAAACGTACAGGAGGAGGATAGGGGTCAATACATGTGTCAGATCAATACAGACCCAATGAAAAGCCAGGTAAGGTTGATAATAAAGAAAATTCAATAGCCTAAGTGGACATCATTGCGTTCCAGTCTAGCTGCTCTTCAATCAGCTCACCCGAATGTTTCTCACTACTTTCGTTTCCATGTTGTTCCTTCCGTTTATTGTAACCTCGAATACGAACTTGGCGATACAAAAACTCTCTCGTCATTATTTCTGGCACGAACATTCTTCTACTACGGAATAATGTTCGATCTGTAGGACCCCATGAGTTTTTAGCCTTAAATAGCCCACGAAAATTATTAGAATTAATATAATGGAACATTTGAGTCACCAATCCAACCACTATAATAAAGAGATAAGTACTCAATAGTATGTAAAATATTAACAAATCAGTAGTCATAGATATTGCGTCAATGTAATATGACTCCTCGTACTCATAAGTTTCTATTACTTCCCAACGAGAATACAAAATAATACATATGAAAATCGGATTCAAAAGCCAAACTATTTTTAAGAGATAATTCGTTTTGATTCCTATCATAAATACTATGTCCACAGTATGTTTATGAATGCCGTAGAACCAATACAAAGCGATAGAAAAGAATAAAGAATTAATTGCTTGAATAAATTCTGTTGCATCTGTCAGTATGGCCGTAATGTCGGAACACAGGAATGGCAGAGTACAAATCATAATAAAAATAAACAGTAACAAACAAGAAAGTTTTGTGTATGTCCTGACTATCTCGTTATTTTCTAAAAATTCTTTTAAAAACAAATATAATATCCAAAAATTTATATACAGACAGAAAAAACCTGTTGAAAACCACAAAAACCCCCAAATTGGTAAGCCATTGAAATAGCTCAGAATTTCCGACATTGATGCAAACATTGCAAAGAATGGGTTGGTTCCTAATTCTATAACATTTTCTTCTTCTCCGTGATAATACGACATTGTTTTGATTCCACTGAATGAAATGAGTGCTAGCATAAATGATATAAATAGTGAAAATAATGGCGTGCTTATAGCTGTCATTGTGGCGGGACTACGAAACGCTACGTCACTTGTTAAGAAATTTATAATACCATATCCAGTGCCAACCGATAGAAAACCTCTCGTGATCGTCCTATAACAATTGACAAATGTATAATTATTCCAGTTGATAGTATATTTGGAAGCATACCACGTTCCGCTTGTCGACAATGCCACACAAAACAAAATAAGTATCACTGCACAAACGTAAAATGCGGCCAGCTTCACCACGATTTGAATCATTTTTTCGTTCTTGATTGATAACACGTAAACTGATCCGCATACTGTTAATAGCGCCACAATTGTTTTCCATGGAACTAGACAATATAATCCAAGTTCCAATGTAGAGTTTCCGCCTATTTCGCGCTCGAAAAAGCAGTTGCTCGCAGTTTTCATTCCACAATCGTCCTCAAATAAAATTTGAGCTTCCAGGCAATGTTGGAAAACAGAAACATTTACCCGTTTCACCATACATTTTGTATCTCCGAAGTCATCGCAACTAAGCCAGGGCGGGACGTCCAAGGCAGAGTAAAATGTGTAAACTAAATACCAAGATGTTAACACAAGCAAATATATTGTTTTCAACCAAATCAAAAATAATGTGCCGTATCCCACATTGCGGAACAGTGGGAAGAAATTCCACATGGTAAATATATTGCTATTCGTATACTGAGCCAAACAGATCTCCGAATATGCTAGCGGCATCCCGACCAAGACGACTGCCAGCGTTTGCAGTGCTAGTTGAGCATAAAATCCACTATGTGATGTCGAAACCGGGCAGAACATTACTGTTAACTCGTTCATCATCCATGCCCATAGAACAAGTCTGTAATTACTGTAACTGTCCCACCGACTGATCAATTTTGGACAAAAGTATCCGTCCATTTCTATTATCTCATCCAGAAACATTTTTTCAATACAATATCAATTTTGAAATGCCAACCTAACAGGCCGTCAACATCCATGACCGTGTAGATTGACATTACTATTGTCTATATCTTATCGTATTATTTACATCGCCATGATAGCTCGACATAAAACGAAATTAAATAATGGCGTAACATATCGGAGAAAATTAAATTGCAGTTAAAATAAACATTGGTGAGATAAAGTGAATTAAGCCACGCAGACGGGAGTGGGCGAGGGACGCAGCGGGTAATGATTCGTGCATGGTGCACCTAAATTATTGCGCTGCACTGTAATTTATACCCGGAGCTGATAACGACATAAATCGCCAGCGGCGACAGCGCTCGAGGTTTCGACTCCGACGCTGACACGGCATGACGCCACTTGACGCAACGTACTTTCGATAATTGTTTCACATTGTTTGTTGTTCTTTAACGTTAATTAATTACACTGTAAACGTTATTTAAGTGAAGTCGTGTACGGATTAATTTAGGTAAATTCTTTTTAAACGATTCCTATCAAGAATTATTTTAATAATTTGTCATTGCTATGATTACGTTTTGTCCTAAATAGACGTATCATAATTTATATAGAGGTATTAGTGCGTTAAACTTTTTATTAGTTTTCAACATATGCTTTTTTACAGATGGGTTACTTGGAGGTGGTAATCCCACCAGATTTTATTCCTGAAGAGACATCAGGGGACATAATGGTGCCTGAAGGTGGTACTGCCAAAGTCTCTTGTCGAGCGAGAGGCATGCCAGAGCCCCGTGTTCTCTGGAGAAGAGAAGATGGTGCTGATATTGTTATCAGGGATCCTAATGGAACAAAAACAAAAGGTATTAAATATACTGACATTCAAAGGAAATGTAGGCAGAGACTAAGCCTAACGATATTTCTTTACATAAACAGGCTAACATTAGTATGTCGAACTATATGAATATTTCATTTAATTCCATTGAAAAAATCTGTAACAGTTGGAATATTATTATAGAATCAATTTTCCATACAGTTGCGATGTACGATAAAGAGGTGTTGGCACTGACGAAAATATCACGTTCGGATATGGGTGCATATCTGTGCATCGCGAGTAACGGTGTGCCACCCTCAGTCAGCAAAAGGATAACTATTAAAGTACATTGTAAGTATAAGTTGTAAACTGTGCAAAAAATAAAAATAGATTTTAATGCTTCGATCTTCTCCTAGAACGCATCACATGTTATTCATTTGTATCACTCCAAAATATGTATGTGCTACAAAAAACAACATCAATTTAGACAGTACCAATAAATTCATGTTTTCTTGATAACAATAACAAGACTCAAGTAGCAATTAGGATCTCAAGGCGAACATTTTTCCCAAAAACTGTTTTAGGACCAAACTCATTCTGAGGACGAAATAGGTCCACAGAAAATTCGTAGTAATTGTTGTTTATCTTGGCAAGTTTCGGAGGATTCGTGTTATTAATGGTGTTATTTAATGTCAGCGAGTAGTAGCTTTTAATTATTTTCTGGCTGTAAGGGACTGTTTGTGTCTTCGCGTCAACTCAAGCGGACATTTCGCTTTTATGCAAGATTTAACTTTAATATTATTAGTCCACTTTTCTTGAACAGTTGAACACGAAAATTGTGTCTGCATTGTGCACTGTTGTGACTACTATAAGAATTATTGCTAATTCTTTTTGTTTTGGTTTAGTCCACCCGGTGATTCAAGTGCCTAACCAGCTGGTCGGGGCTCCACTGGGCACTGACGTCACCATCGAGTGTTACGTCGAGTCTTCACCAAAATCCATCAATTATTGGGTTAGAGATTCAAGTGAGTATTTTTTCAAGTTTCAAATTACCTTCTTATCTTGCAATGTAAACCAATCAAAAACATTGTTCCATCTTATAGCCAATTTATTCTGTATTCAAAATTTGCGTACCTGTTCATATTTTTTGCCAAGTCCGCTGGTTTCAATGCTTAGAACCAGAGCAATGAAAATTTACTTTAACTTTTACTGTTTCAACCATTTTCTATTTAATTTTGAAAAGGTTTTAACCACGTTATCTAACTGGAACTGTTACTGTAATTCAAATAAATTAGCGGAGATTTTATTAACTTTGTTATAGAATTGTTTAATTTGAGTTGTTTAAATAGTCTAACGTTTTTTTCATCGGGTAATGATATAGATTTTGTGTTTGTTTCTGATACTCTTTTTTAGGTTTTAACATTTGTATATAAATTGGACTATTAGGTATTAATAAAAATGTAGAAGTTATTTTGACCAAACGAGTTATATGTATTGTAACTTTCGTGAGACATAATAAATAAATTATTATGTTTTCGGCTTACTCACGTAATAATTTGACGAGGAACTCGACTAGTTTCAAGCCATGCTAGAGGCTCATATTCATGAGCAGCATTTCGCAACCCGCGACGCGTATATAAACGAGTTATAATAAACTGGTTATAATTTATTTAATGAAATTTATAGAAATGTTCCTATATATATGATAAGTACAGTAATTCTTGCCGTTTATATATAGAAATAATCCCTTACTTATTCTATTCGAGTATAATATTGCACCTCCACAGTTTCACAGTATGCCTTTGTTTCGCAATTAATGCATAAATGCGACACTAAATTAACAAATGTGCACGCGGCGTATCCCGTTGTCATGGTAACATGATTCATTTTGATTTGTTATTATAATAATAATTTCATTAGACTGAACTTAATTGCCTACTATAGCAATACGTTAATATTATAATGAAGAATGTTATTGATATTGTATTGTTTAACTCGTCGAGTACCGGTTTTGTAGACACAATTATAGAACAATAGGTTGCGTGCGGTCACCGGTGACCGCTTGGTGTTTGACAGTTTAAAACAATGATTTCTATGTTCATAACGTTAATTGTAAATGAGAGTATTAAATCTAGTAGTCGTGAGCTTAATTTCTGAACAATATTTTTTAAGTATATACGTAACCTATTTCATGTTTTTAATCTAAAAAAATACGATTCAGAATTACAGTTATATACGCACTAACCTATACAATGTAATATTGACTACATCCTCTAAAAAAATTGAGACAGAATTTTCGAAGAGAAAAAAAATAACTTGTTTTTTTCCAAAGTATATCAAAAGCCGTTAAGTAACACAGATTGTGTTGTGCCACTAAGATGGTGTCGTGTCCAGCTCATTTTAGTGCTCCTCTGGGACTTTGTTTCTCGGTTACCATAGCAACGGCACGCAAGTGACCTCTAAAACACTGACTTTAATCGCAATTGCACTAGTAATTTAGTACGACATCACTTAGGAAATGGTATAATTAGGGATTAGATTTGTTTTAATAGAAACTCGACTTTGGTACTATTACGTTTCTAAACTTATTTTACATTTTTCTTGAAAAACTCAACGTTATTCAAGAAGTAAATTACTCAACGGCGACTCTTAATGTCCTTTAAGTACCTACTAATGACATTTTTTGCCAAGAGATCCCAATATAACACTGTAGAAAAATCACCATTTAAAAATTTACGCTTCATTAAAATGATACCAACGAAAAGAAACAATGGTAAGGAAGGAAAACCATGCTGAAAGAATTACCATTTAAAATCATACAACGACATTGACGCCAAAAATCGAGCAAAAAAAAAATCCTAGGTGAAATGAAAAAAGTCTGCTTGTAATTCAAATTTTTTGGCTCGGGCCACACCGGGGCGGGGTAACGCTTGCAAGTAATGAGATATTAACTTTTAATTTACGAGTGCGTCGAGTTTTAGTCTTAAGAAAAGTGACCTATTGTGGTGAAATAAGACAATGGTTGTTAGTTCCAAGTGACTGGACACGATCCTTTACGATTCTCTTCACAATGCCTTTATAATTTATCACTTAAAGACTATATTGCGGACGCCATTAGCTTTTATGTAGTTCACTGTTTTAAAAATATCTATTAGAAATATATCGTAAAGTTAAAGGCTGCGTGCAGCTTATGGCTGTTGTTTAAGAGCGTTTTCTGTTCAACCTTGTGTAGTTTACGAGTAAAGATATGTGTATGTCACGTGTATGTAGTTTTACAAATCCAATCTATACTCCTTAAAGTAACAAAAACTGGTTGTAAGATTTATCTTTACTATTATCCTAATTAAAATATACAAAGATTTAATAATAATCTCTTGATTCAATTAAATTTTTCCGAACATTTATGTTTTTCTCACGTAATTTTTTGACGAGGAACTCGACTAGTTTCAATCTATGCTAAAGCAGCGCGACAGTCGCCACGTCGCGTAATTCTGCTCATGAATATGAGCCTCTAGCAAGGCTTGAAATTAGTCGAGTTCTTCATAAAATATTTACGTGAGTAAACCGAAAAACATAATAAATTAATATGTGTCATAAACGTTCTAATATAAATTAAGTAAATATTAATAACCTTATTTTTCTTTATCATCTTAAAAACCAATTTTAATTGTAAAATAGTAGTCTACTGACAGAAATCCTGTTTCAAAATTAACCCTTCCAAACTATCGATATAATAGTACTCAAATTATAGACCCACTATAACTAGATTTGTATCTAGTCTAGTTATCTTAGCATGAAGTCTGAAGGCAACACACCAAGTTAACTGGCAGCACAAACATTGCACCAACTCCAGTCAAGCTTTTGATTCGGTAAGTTTCTGCTTAAGCGACTAAGCCGACCGACGATGTACTACCAACTACATCTCTACACATTGATGTTTGGGAACTAGTATTAGGATATTGTCAATGATCAGTTGTAAGATCGGACACCTGATTTTATTTACTACACACATAATGAGTCTATACAAACTTTTTAAAGGGCTTTACTTACATGTATTATTGAACTTAAAATGGACAAATAAAAACTATTCTTTGATAAATGAACCCAAAAATAATATTACGCACTTCAGTCGGAGGTACAATGTAGTCTAATGACAATCATAAACCAATTTCGATCACACACCTACACAATCGACCCGCACCGCCACATAGTACTCACGTAAACATAAAAAACCGCTATCAAAAACACAAAATGAAACGCAATCACTTTAAATCTCGCCCAGATTGACAATGATTCAAAGATGTGCCCTCAAATATGGGATATTTGACTGAACTCAAGTGATCATTACACACTTCGTGCGAACAAGGTTATTCGAGCACGAAATGTTCGTTTATTCAACTGATGAATCCATATTTTATTCATATTCTCATGTATGAGGTGTGGAAGGCCGTCTATGCAGGCTCCCTCCTGAATTTCATATAAAATTCTTTACAGATGCCGAGTTTTCGCATAAATCTTTTTATGTGCTACTGATATTAGGAGTTGTCATTCGAATGTTCTTTATCAGTTCGTGGTGATGATGTGGAGTTATATTAAGGAGATTTATGTCGTGTGCTTCTCCATTTTTGCTGTCAATATTCAAATTGATGAGGGAAAAACTAGTTACCGTTTATTTTTATGTAAGTTAAAAATAAGTACGTGTTAAAAATTACTCTGAATGGTAATCCGTAATACTTTTCTTCATAATATTTTATATGGGTTAAGCTGGTAAACAAGCAGACGAATCACCTGATGGTAAGCAAATCAGCGTTGCCCATAATAATAATCTCAGGAAATCTCACTCACACGATGAAACACAACGCAAGCGTTGCTTCAAGTCGGTTTTCTGTGAGGCCCTGGTATCATTTCGGTCGAGTCTGCCCTTTCGTACCGAAGCATGACTCTTCCACACTTAATCTCCTCTAATTATTAGCACTAAATACATAGATAGGTATTCGGGTTTACGAATAAACACAAAAAAATCTTCTTCCACATAATTCTCGTACTTTCTTTCACCTTCAGCTCACACAATCAAAAGCATCCACCGATACAGTATCATAAAGTGTCGAATACTTTATCAGTTATCCTTTACATTTACAAGCATCTGGCATTGATCCTAGTTATGCAACGTACATACGGACAGACGACACGACAATACTCACGCAACACAAAATGATGACATAAGGAATGGAGATTACGTGATTTCGTGTGACAGCCTGGCGTCCCTACACGAACTTCCCCATTATTGTGGCTACGCAATTTTTTTATGAGAAAAATCGTCGCGGTATTTTGAAAATTGATAAGTGTAAGAGTCTATAAGACTTTTTGGTGCATGCCATCAATTGCAGAGAGACGTACATCATAGTTATATGCATATAAAAAAGAAAAAACCTCAAGTTTGACAATGCAAGTGATAGATTAATATGTTATTTTTATTACATTATTAACAATAGTGCATAGAATATCTAATTTTTATGTTTGACTCACAAGAACAATCACAATGTTTTCAATAAAAAAAACACCATTGTCATTATTTTATAATATCTACCTGTATATATAAAAACAAAATCGAATGTTTTCAAAACTACTAAATAACACAATTTGAATCGCGTTTCCCGTAATAATATCAAAGATCAGGGTTCAATAATCGGTCCCGTCACGCGACTGGGAGCTCGTAATATACTCGTATAACCCGTGTTCCATATTGAAAAGTAGAAAACATTACCAACGTTATCATAATAAAAGGCCACATGAAATCCACAGTGAAAAATCCATTAACACTTATCCGGGCGTAAAATAAACCAAAGTAAATTAGGTTGGTAATAAAATAATAAATTCTTTGGCGCCATTCCTTTTGATAATAAGATGTTCTGTTGAAGCAGTGTGAACGTCCATAGTCATATTATTACCATTATATTCACGACGAATGATTGTGTGTCTGATATTATGTGTGTAGCTTTTGTTTTCAGGCCTGTATGCAAATATTTTGATCTAATTTTTTTACAATAGCTATGCCCGCGACTTCGTCTATGTAAAATAGCGATTTTCGATAGTTATTCGTAGCTTCTCCTCCTTAGGTGATAACGTAGCTATGTAGCTATACATTCATGCAAAATTTGAAGTAAATCCGTGCTAAACTTTTTGAGTTTAGCCCGGACATACATACAGAAAAACAGACAAAAATTTTAAAGATAGTTAGTCGGAATCTGAAAATAAGCAATACATTTTTATACGCTAAATATATTGCCCAAATATATTTTAACTGCTCTAGTGGTAAATAAAAAATAATTGAATTATTTATTTAATCCAAATAGTTTAATCTCTTACAAATGTAACCAGTGAATTGTGAACAAGGCATTCTGCATCAATAGTATTGGTAGATTTAAAATAAAAAAAAACATTTAGCTTAAATTTTTACAACTTCCCTCCAACTGAGAGGCAAGAAACAAAAATGATTTGAAATCTGAATATGCATTAACCCGAAGTTTACACTTGGGCATAAAGTCACGCTTTTCAAGTCTGATTTTTTTAAATAAAAGGGATATAAAATTTACAATAAATTGTGCTACTTGTTTTTAAAAGTTTAATCATCCATAAACAAAATAATGGACACGTAAACTAGCCACAAATATGACGTATCAAAATCAGTCCGTTCACGCAGCGGAGTAATGAGCTGGCGGGATCTCGTGGCTCGTGGAGTTACTTCATTCGTTCCGTTCCCGCCCTCGCTCAGCGCCGTCGGCGGTTTCACGAAGTTCCCCATTCGGCACTTGTCGCGCGAAATTTACGGGTTAATTTTCAATGGGACTGGGTTTTGAGCTTCTGGAAATTTTAAGTTCCACATTATGCTTGGCTCTCATCCGCAGCGGGAATGTATGACGTAATAAAGGGAGAAGTTTTCCTTTTTTTATGTTCGTTCGCGGATTTTCTGTTTATGAAATTTTGATGAATTCCGGAGTTGATTAGTTGCCGAGAGTGTCTGGATTGTGGTATAAGGCTGACACTACTTTATGAAATGTTTTTAAATACATTTTAGGAAGTAACATATTAGACAGTTATGAAAGAAATGTATGCATGTATGGAAGTATTCTTGATTATTATGATATATTTTAAATGTTCAGTATTTCTACTCTCCTCTAGAAATTACCCGCGGAGAACCTAGCGGGTTACCTGGGCTCCGGCTACAAGTGCAGGAGTAGGAACGGGGTGGTTTTTAGCCAGTAAGAGTCTGATACTCCCTCCCGCCTCACCGAGGCGAGACAAGTCATTGGATGATTTTCCACCCTTAAAAAAATACTAGAAATTATTCTAAAATCACATAAGTTTCGGCTATTTACAAAAAATATAATTCTATTCTAACACGATTCTATTACATCCTTATATCGAACCCAAAAATAAAACTAAACAATCCACAACACATTGTGACCTTTACTGTGACTACAAATTTTCAGCACACAACCGCACCAAGTATATGATCATTAAAATATTACACAACAAGTAATTTACACCGATGCTGACTTGCAACTAACTATACACTCCAACTTTACCCAGACTGATTCTAAAGCACGAAAATTAATATCAGTTACTTGTTTCATAAAGGCACTTTCATTCTATCGAACCGTAATATGCAAAGAGTTACACAATACTAATTTAGAAGCACAACAAGTACATTAACGGGATCTCACTATATTAATTAAGTTACACTAATAATGCCAAGCCATGTATTTCACTCACAGACAAATGCGAGCGAGATAAATCATCTGTTATGATTAGCTTTTACGATGTACGAATGTTACACGATAATAGATAAATTTGACATATTATTGCTACTATTACGAATACTGTTGTGAAACCTTAGCTTGACGTTGCAATTGTGTTCAATAATTGAGTGGTCTCGTCAACATTGTTATTGTTGGTTTCGACAGTTTTAGCTATTATGAATTGTAAGATTTATAATGGAGTCATTAGGATTTAATAATCGATGCGAATACTTACTTGATGTTAATCATAAGCTTTACTTCTGGTTTTGTCTAGAATATCATGGATTGACCATCATGCTTCTTAGTCTTCATCCGACGGGACCTAACATAAACTAAAATTAGCATGTCAATAGATCTGCGCACACCCATTTACCCACAAGCCGTATCTCAGTAATAAGTAGCCCCTATGTTACACATAATTTCATTACCAAGCATGGTTTGTGGTCGCCTTTAGCACACGAGTGCTTTGTTCGCTTAGTCCATTACGTGGCTTCGTACAGCTCTCTGCGAACCTCAAGGGAGTCCAGTAACAGTCATAATAACTTCTGTCGAATGGTCGATACAGTTGCTCTTGCCATTCACACAACTCAATATTATCTAGTTGTGAACTTGGAGAACGTAATGCATACTTTACAACTTGTGTAAAAGTAATACTCCGTGGAAATGCATTTGTTTTAGAATCGTATCTAGACTAGGGTATTCTCGCGTTTTATGTGTGTGTGGACACGAAATATAGGAGTAGCACAGAAATAAGTTTAAATATGGAGAACCTTAACCAAATTTAACTGTAACTCGAAGGTAGATAGGAATTTTTTGCTTTTGTTAACCGTACACTTTGCTTAGACTGTCACGTATAACAAAAAAACCAATTAAGAGTATTATGTGAACTTTCAAGTCATTAATGTGGTTCAAGGACATGTTCAGTCAATTTTATAAAATTAAAATACAGTTTACATTGAAGTAGGTACCTGTTGTAAAAATAAAAGCAATCACGTTAGAATGAATGTATGACGCTATATTTAGAGTTCAATTTATAACAGCTCCGCGGGCTAATTATTAAAACACATTAAGGTCACAAGTTGTTTTACGTCTGCGTTATGATCCATGGGGGCATTGTCGACCGGGGTACGCAGCCCTTTGTTTGGCCGCCAACTTGTGCTCGATGACTGGCGCTTTCACTCCGGCCCACTTCCAAAACCAGCCCCAAAGGGTAACACTACAGGATCGTCATTTTCGTTTGTCATCAATCTATGTTAGGGTTGCTGACATGTAAGTGTTAATTAAGCAGGCCTCACTCGAGCGTAATTAAGAGTGTTACAGTGTTATTTTAGACATTAATTGAGATGAAATTTCTTGTTATAATGAAACGAGTAGACTTCGAGACTGTCGAGTAATTTCCTTCGAAGGCCATCTTCGGCGTACGTCGTTAAGTCGAAGCACACTGGAGAGTAAACAAACCGAAGTTTCGATCGGAATGAAGATTAAGAAAGGCGTTACTGGTGTTATCGTTTCCTTATAAAGTTCATAGGCGACGAAGCTTAAATTAATGCCTTTATAAATTGTGGTGTTAAATATTGTGTAAATATTTTGGCCAGTATAAATAGTGCGGGGTATTTTATTGGTTCTAATAAAACGTTGGGTTGAAAGGAGTGTTTAACGAGACGGGCGCAGTGTAGTGTTTTCGAAAGAAAGCCAGTCGCTTTATCATTTGCGGACAACAGGCAGTAGAGGCTTACCACAGCTCCGAGGCAGCGAACGACATACTTACGTACCGCAATGTAGGGATTGTTTGGGCCACCTCTCTAAAGGGGTCTACCAGGAAATGTCGGCGATTTGGAGCTTCTTGAAAAATATCGTTTCCCCTGCAACGGTATTTTCTGAGGGACAACTGAGACATTGTTTACCTTATCTGGTAAACACTTTAGTTTGCCACAGCTGGATTCAATATAAATGTACGCGAGCTAAGGAGATTTCATATTTTTCACGGAATAACACGTATTTTGTCTTACGATTCAAATGTATGTCAGAATAATAACTGAAACCTCGTATCTGTATCATATTTCAACAAAGCCACGGTGGCGTGTAATACGGTGTAATAGATTATTGTATGAAAACTGTGAGGTTTTTCTTATATCTTACGCAAAATATTCATGAAATGGAGTGTCAAGTAAAAGAAAACTGAAGACGTAATAATTCTTTTTACGAGTTTCTTCACGCAGAACTGAAAGAAAAAGTTTGCAGTAAACTATTTTGCTTGGCCCAGAGATAGTGAAATTGTGTTATTTGAATCTGTTTTCTTTTTGCATTCAACAGTTTATTGCCCTAAGTTTCTTAGAACTTTACTTTGTTATTATGTTTACTCTAGGGCTTGCTGTTAAGATTCTTTTTTATCTCTTCACTTAATTTTGTGCCAGTTTGAATAGAATGAGGTTTTTATTGTGATAACATTTTTTGTGCAGATGAAATGGTGATATCCTCAAGTAAATATGAGGTGGTGAATACAGTGATGAGTTCTTTCGAGAGTCGCATGGCGCTGACAGTGAGAAGACTGACGTCAGCAGATGTTGGTGGCTACAGGTGTGTCGCGAAGAATTCACTTGGTGAAGTTGATAGCGTCATCAGGTTGTATGGTAAGTGCCTTACATTGCACCGTGTAATGTGACATCTTTCTACGAGATACTAAACATTTCCTCATAAAGGTAGTAAAGAAAGCTATGTCTTTAACAAAGAGACCCTTTTAGTTCCTTAAAAAATGGTCGAAGAAATAGCCTAAGTTTTCATCTTCAGATTGTGGTTTTTTCTCCGACATTCTCGTAATCCATAACTAAAACATTTGTTCGTTATGTAATTAAAATCTACGGTGTTAAACTGATTTTGAAATACAAATCCTGGAGAACATTCTTTTTAACTGTCAGTAATGCCAAAATAAAACTGTGTCTTAAAACCAAGCAAGAAATTCGTACAATAATCTCATTTATATTATAACTTTCGTGAGACATACTAAACTAATTATTATTTATGTTTCCGTCTTAGCCGAAAACGTAATAATTAATAATCTCATTCACTTCGATGAAACATGTTCATTTAACGTACATAAAGGAAAAATACAACTGATAGTGCTAAGAGCATCTATTTTCAACTGTGCCTGGAAGTGGAAAGCAAACAACTAAGTACCTATGTACTAGTGTGGGTTGGAAAATAACAAACGTACTAGTGTAGTAATTACGGTACATCGATACAGCTTGTTTAATTAAAACAAGAACAAGAGGTGTTTTACTATCTCCCTAAAACTTCTGTGGTACTAGAAAATGTTCAGTGCAGGAATAGTGTCATAAATATTATGTACCCTTCCTTTCGTGTTCTGTCGATTATCATTTTTGGTTTTCTAGTTACGGTGAAGGAGTATTTTAAGTTTTTGATTTTGTGACTCCCAGTCCTAAGAACGGTAATGGTATTGGATGGATATAGGCTAGCAAAAAATTAATAATCTTTCAGATTTCTTACTTCATTAAATTTAACTTGGGTGATTAACCTAATCTATTTCACAAAACATCACTATATAATAACAACAATATTTTCGTCCACAGAAATCCCTGGACCAACAGTAAAGAACACAAGTCCAGCGAACAAAAGAGAAGAGTACAGGTATTCCACCCCCATAGAGGGGCCAGACAATCAATTCGGCTCTGCTGACAGATCGGACGACGAAGATGAACGAGACATCGGCACATACACAACTGACAGACATTCAAATGCATACAAAAATGAAAATGTAACTAGAAACAGAACTATCAATTATTCCCCAACAACAGAACAAAAGCTGAACAATAAAGTTCGAAAAATTATTAACAAATTCGATATAGAAGAGTTTGGCAACAACAGATGTTGCGTGCATTCTCTATTCGCAATAAACTGTGTTCTTTCGTTAGGAATTATTGTAGTACTAGATTATACGTAGACACGTTTGTATGTTGTTATTGTATAGATATGAATGTTTATATTGTTAACCAAACAGTACTTCGGTACTCATTCCAGTATTATAAGGCACGATGCAACATAACGTAGCCTCCAACCATAATTAATTGAACGTTTTGAAGTGGGTACGAAATTGATATTGATGAGAGAGTTCCGTAGCTATGGAAATTAATATTCTATTGACGCGATATTGGTACATTACATTATTACCTGTTAATCGAATATTTATAAAAGGTTTACTATATAACCTCATGTGTGGTGTGGTATCAGATTATATTGCAAAACTATATTAATAAAAACCTGTGTTTGAAATACGACCGATTTTGAATAATACAGTTGACGAAAACGTTGTGATTATTACATCCTCAACAAAATCTTTGTTGGTATTATCAAGCATAATATCATTTTCAGATTTGGCAATTGCTTTTTTCATGTTTCTTTCCTAGACAGTTTCGTTTATTTAGTCTGATCCTGAAACCCAATCATTGGATCGATGGAATTGAGTTTTCGATTTCAAACTCAGTTGTAAAGCTAACACTGGATTTGGACCCCGATGACAATAGTCTTCGTTTTGAGACAGATGACTATCTATTCAAAACAAGTGAATGTTCTACATCTTATTACTTATTATCGGAAATACTAAGTGTTTGCTCAAGCGTGGGTGTACCTATACAGTATACGTATTGGTTCTACGTGGTTCTACGAAATTTCAACTTTTGTAATGTTTTGAAAACCTTATGTTCCATAATTCCCAACTTCTGTGTATTACTAGGCAAATTAATTCATTAAGATTACAACGTTGTTATATTAACTTTACTAAAATTCTTAAGAAGTTGATCAAGTGAAGTTAAGTAGACGTTCCAGGCAACAATTCATTATTTTGTATGTACTAAATATTTATAACGTATGTACATACATGAAATTTAGTGTATGTTTCTACGCTTCAAGTGGAGTATATTTTAGTACTTTGCTTACCACTAGGTGAGATAGTGGTCAAACGTCGGCCTATCAAATATAAAAAAGTAATATGCAGAAATAAACAGCATACCAGTTGGTAAGGTGGTATTGACACATCATTTCCCATCATTTTCTTTCTTCATCTTCTTTCTGATCTACTTATACTCAAATCTGACGCTAATAGTATTACTGGGTGTGATTTTTGTCCTGATTAAAACCTTTACTGTCTGCGGACTCCAGACTTACTCCTCCATTTTGTCATTTTTTCAACACAAATTGTATGTTTTTCATGAAATATTTAACTTCATTTTAATTATATTTTTTGACAAGACTTTTGTGTGTGTAAAAAAAGGAGCATTTAAAAGGCTTGTCACACACCGACAGACAGGATTTTTTATTAATGTAAATGCGGCTTTAAATTCGAATCCGTGGCGAATGTAACTGTGAATGGATGTTGGTGACAATACTTTGTTGAATATTTAAAATTATCATCCCATACCATGTGTTGAGGGGTTTATGTCGACTTATATCTACGTATTTGCTTTTGAATTTTTCGCATCTTATTTTATCCTCTTCTTCATTTTATGGTGGGTCTATGTTCCGTTTTTAAATGTATGAACTCAAGAAAACTTATGTCTGTCCGATTCCGTTGTCTTAAAGTTTAAAAAATAACCCAATTCTAACTTTAATAGAACCTTATTAAGTAAATAACGTAAATATAAAATTACCACAGATCGTATCAAAATTTCATTTCGATCCGAATTAAATTGGAAACTTCAATGTTTTATGTAAATATATTCATAATTTTGGAAACAAAAAGTCGAAACCAACACGCATTAAAACTAAAAGCAGTTTAATTCCCCTCTGTGATATACACATATATTATAATTTGGCAACATCGAAAAACGTAATTAGCAGTTACCGAAATATAAATTCAATTAAATTTTTATTTTGGGAATTCGATCACATATGTATGTATTTTTTTGTAAATTTTAATATAACACATACATAACATCACGCCTTTTATCCCCGAGGGGTTAGGCAGAGGTGCACATTATGCCACTGTAATGTACCACCCACTTTTCACTGCTTATGTTGTGTCCCGTGTTATAGGGGGCGAGCCTATCGTCATTTAACGGGCACAATTCCAGACTCCGTGCCACCACCGATTTTTTTTTTAAATCTAGTAATATTTTGCCCGACCCGGGAATCAAAATCGAGACCCCTTGCCCGGCAGTCGCGCTTGCGACCACTCGGTCAACGAGGTAGTCATTTTAATATAACTTTTTTTTAATACTATAACACTTTTGTTTCATGTTTTAAAGTCAACTCAAAATGGCCTTAAATATTGTTATTAGTATTTTTAGTGATTAGATACCACTGATTTACTCGTATAACATAACATCACACCTTTTATCCCCGAAAGGATAGGCAGAATTGCACCTTACAACACTTAGTGCCACTGTACAATGTTACTCCCACTTTCCACTATTTATGTTATGAGTACCATGTAATAGGGTGATAGTTATTATTATAGTATAGGTTACATTTTATTGCTAAATACTGCGTTGGGCGCCAATATAATACAGCAATTAACATGTATGTGTACTGAAAGAAAGAAAAAACACTTTGCGGTCATGCGACTACCGGACAAAGAGTCTCGGGTTCGATTCCCGGGTCAGGCAAAGTATTACTGGGTTTTTAAAAAATTCTCAGTAATAGCACGGAGTCTGGAATTGTGCCCGGTATATGGCAATAGTATACAGTGGCATTATGTGCACCTCTGTATACCCCTTCGGGGATAAAAGGCGTGATGTTATATTAAAAAAAATATATTCAGCAAATATATAACATATTTATACTGAACAAAACCACTACAATCTTTTATTTAAACTTAGCTATGCCATGCTAGTGATCAATAATAGTCTGATATCATACTCGCATTATGTTTTAAAACTACATAAGTTTCGATATATAGAAAATATTGACTGATTGACCAAAACCCATGACCTACATGCAACGAATGTCACCACTGCCAATAATAAACATAAGTCAATTTGTTAATTTGTGATTATAATGAACCTATAACAATAAAATACATAATATTTATAAGTCTCTCTTATATAAATACATAATATTATGTTGATACTAGTTAAGACCAAAGTTATTTATATATTTATTTAAATAATAAAACCAATACGAGTTATCATCAATACTTTTCAGTTTTGCTAATAAAATGTAGTTATTGGCCTAATCAAAATCTAGTACGATTAACAAAATTCTATGGATCAATAGACCTTAAGCTATCATCAGTGAAAGATTTCGTTTAAATAAAAATGTGATCTTAATAATAGGTCTTTACCCAAGAAATTTACGTTTTGTACGAAAAATTTAAACAATATTTATCATGCATTTTTTGTCTGTGTTATTCAATATAATTATGCACACATGCACTCAATGCTTCTGTACCAACGCAATGGCAGTTTATTGATACCCTTCTTAAAGAAATCAGCAGGACGCGAAGCAAAAAAATCTTCAAATGCATTATATACCGCCTCTTGAATAGTTTTCCACTGAAAAAGAATAAAAGAACCATGATTTTAAAATAAAATTAATTTGAAATTGGAATTCTTAGCCAAACAAAAATAACTTTGATTCGAAATGGCCAGTACTGCAAAACGGCAATTTCATAGATAAAGGCCAATATTTATTTACAAATTATAATTTCAGTCACCATACATGTTATAAAATCTATCTTTAAGATGTTATTAAGGAAAATGTGTCTAAATATCCTAACTATTCTAATCCCAACAAAATTATTATTGCCATTATTGTAAAAAAATATTTGTATGTAATTTCGTTGAATTGTTTGGTCATTATTATATAACTCAATCAATATTAACTAATTATTCTTTATCTTTTAGCAAAATTGATTTTCAAAGTATCTAATTTATAATTTAGCTTCCATATGCAAACAGAAGTTTATGAAACTCTTTTCCTATTTTGTACTTATCAAAAATAGTGTTTTTAATAAAATATAACCTTTGCCAGTAACATTTAATTTTGCCTAAACACAGAATAAAATTTAAAAAGAATATTTGACCAAAATTGTAGCCAGATTATACCGAAAGTATAAATAAACCTATGTAAGTGTATGTATATAATATAGAATGAAATTAGAACCTAATTTATTGTTTTATATACTTTCTTGATATTGATTAAATAAAAATTATAAAGTCTATATAATTTTTTGTTGTACAGATGTCAATAGTACCAAAGTACCTTAGGGATAAGTTCAAAATATTTTTTGTAAACCATAATTTGTATAATTTTGTGGAACTGAGTCGCTAGATAGAATACGGCATTACGAGTAAATAAATAATTATTATTGTAAACCTCTTGTTTAATTCGACACCCTGTTTATTTCATTGTGGTTTAGCAACGACTGTTTCATTCTGGTATGATGAAAGGAAATAGTAAGTATTTAATTGATAGACTTCTAAATAAACATGATTTCAAGCTATAATTCTAGTGACATTTAGCAAAATTTTGTTTCAACATCATTCATATCGATCTAAAACTTGCCTTGCCAAAGCCTTAAATAATTCTTTCCACTAATAGTAAAATTGCAAAACTGTAACAGTTACCTCATTATAAATGTCAAAAAAGTAACCTCCGCATAAGGAAAAAGTATGCACTACAACAAAGTTGAACAATTTTTACACTTCATAATACCAACCTAGCTTTTCAAAGTATAAGATCGAGCTAAAAATTCTTACCAGAGCTTCGGCCTACATTAGTATAGATAACAATACGTATCACATATCCACACGCCTGAAAAATAAGTGCCAACTCTCGCAAGTCAAGTTAGGAGACGTCTTGTGGTTTGTAGCAAGTTTCGACCGATGTGGCGGATTACCCCGTCTCCTCTCATCTTCATTATACAGGAGGAACTTTTCCATTTTCACACTCCCACGAAGAGGCCGTGTTTTGTTGCTATGTATGCAAATCAGGCGCTAAGTTCACAAACAAATAAACTTTCTGGTTATACAGAGACGTTAGGTTAATACGTTGTGGCTGGCTTGTTTAATTTTGTTGAAAAAAGTATTTTCATTGAGTTTTCGGAAGGGTGGAGTAATGGTTGGGAAATGTGTTATTTTGACGATTTCGTATTATGCTAATGGGTTTCAAGTATTGTCTGTACTAAACCTTTTAAAATTAACCTTTTGAACGCCAGAGCAAAAACACATGAACCTGCCTTCGACACCAAGCCACAAATTCCACGCAAATTTCTACGAAAGAAATAGGAATTATTGGAATCCCTATTGTATCAACAATAGGGATTCCAATAATTCGTGTTTCTGGTTCCGCTTTTTCTGTCATGTATTTGTGTCGTTGACGTCCAGGGACAGTTTTCGCTTGTCGCGTATATGTGACATTGGCGGTCAAAGGGTTAAAGACCAGTAGTATATGTATATTTTGATCTTTATACTGTCAGTATACACAATAAACTTGAACACAACGTCATAAGTTTTAATGATCGTAAATCAATGGTTATTGAGGAGGCCATCAAAAGATTTTCAACGATTATAAACAGCTATGGTAGGTATATAACTAAATGTAAGTATCAAATACAGGTATGAAATAGTCAAGGATTACGAGACATGCATCCTATATCATCATTATACCTCATCGTCATTATACCTAACAAATCCAGATATAACTATATAACAAGCAATCGCATGATAAACAAAGTATAACTTTACTTGTAAGCGTGCACAAAAACATAAGTTTTAATTGCTATGTTACAATACAGCGGATGTCAATTTTGAATAACTTTCTCTAGTCAAACTAATATTTAGATGGTACACGTATGGCACAGTTTGTTCTCGCGCCGATCCATTGTACGGTTAATTAAAACTCCACTGAATTCCCGGTTGTAAATTTTACGTTTTTTTGAATTTTTTTTTTAGGAAACTTTTCGACAGAGCATCCAGTTTTGTTTATTTATGAGCTTTAGCCAGAACGAACGGACAGAATGCTTCGCCGACAATATATTCACATTAATGTTTCCCGCTTTTTGCAATACCGGGTTAGGGACAGAACAACATACGATCTAAACGACAGACTTTGTTTAGGACGTCTTTAAAAAAATATACTTTAACGCTTTGAATATTCAAATGTCCTGAGAATCAGAGTTTTGATGTTTCAGGCCAAGCTGGGCTGCGGAGAAGTAATTAAATTATTTTGGTTTTAGCTTTTGAATCCTTGATAAACATCGCATTTGTTTTTTATAAAAATAAAGTCGTTTTTCGTTTTAGTAATGTTAATTTATTTATGTTGATTTTATTCATTTAAGAATTATAAGAATCCTCAAAATCTCTTTGGTTGAATAGTCACTAGTCCACTGAGGTAGCCAAACCATTATGCTAATCATATAGATGCACTCAACATACAATCACAACAACGTAACAAGTTGCTGTCGCTTCTCACACTCGATCGTTCTCCCCGACATTTCTGATTAAAGGTAAAATTAAAACCATATACTACAATGTATATAAAACAAGAGAAGACACTGAGGAAGTAACGAGAAAATAATCAATCTTCCAAGTCCACTTGGAAGCAATCAAGGTTCTGTTATTGCGTCCGTCCAATCCGATAAAAGAACCGATATATCAAAGACGTCCGTGGTTCAATTACTAACCAATGTGCTATCTCTTAGAGGCAGTAAATCGAAAATGAAAATACTGGCTGCTGGCTGCAGGCCTACGACATTGCACTGAACGATGGCGAATGTCAACAACAGCGCCGATGTCGGAGTAAATCGATCTTCGACATATTGAAGTGGACTTTACTGAATGATGAGATTGTTTTAAGGTTATTAAAGTTTTCTATTCTGTCTTCTGTCCATGGACCTGTATGTGCTCTTATACAGACATGACCAATAAAGGCTTAGGATGTATTCTTTTATAAATAACTCAGAGGT